TATAATAACTGGTGAAATAAATAATGTGATAAATAATAGTTATCTCAATAAAAAAGAAACATTAGAGGGATATTTTAGAAAACGGAGATTCCATCAGGCTTAAGACCACACTACACCCCAGAAATTGCACATACTTTACATTGTGTGGTGGAAATCTTGCAACTAAAAACAGTGAAAATATATGAAAACCAAAATACTGTTAAAGAAACAATATAAACAATAGTCACATTGTTTTCCAGGTTCCAATGGTTGCACTTCCTAAAACACTGTCTAAATTTTTATCTAAACACATGTAAGCTATTAAAAGTCAGGCAAATTGATTCTGGACATTATATGATGCGTACAAGAGCTGCAACAGCCTTTGCTATAGTAGAAAGATCCCACAGCTACTTATTTCAATTATTTCTTTAGAAAGTTTGTTAATTCTGTTGAAACATTAGCGAAGTCATGAGTTTAATGTTCTGTATATTAAAACAGTTCATTTCCTGTTGGTTAAAAACACAAACTCTGGAACTAGATTACTGGGATCAAACCCTGATTTCCTCATTTCTTTATGTGCTGTTCTATTTCCTCATCTGTAAAAGAGAAATAATAATGATCCCTCTTTCATATGATTACTGTAAGGATTCAATTAATCGACATATGCAAAGTACTTAAAATATTGCTTGGTACACAGTAAACAAACACTGCATGTGCTGGTTGTTATTACTGTTTTCAGTAAGTATTTTTAACTGCCCGTAGACCTTACAAATTATTTCCCAGTGAGTGTTTAACTTGAATGTATTATAGGGGAAAAGGAAATAAATAACGCTCATCAAGCATTGATGCAGTAACACTCCCTTATAACAGATTTCAGATGAAACATACTTATTATTTGCTAACAATGTTTCATCAGCATGAGGACAGCCACATAATCAGGTTTAACAGATAAAATGAATTTATCTAAACAGATGCCTCTCAGGGTTAGGAAGAAAAAATCCTGGATGATTTCCGATTTAGTAAATGAGGCTTTTTCACTTTTAGCAACTTTTGCTAAGAAGCTCAGAAGACATTCCAAACATTCTGATTAACTTTTGACATATCTAGTGAAATAAGAGGCAACCACTCTTTCCGTTTTTGAAACATATATTATTTAGAGTGATTTAGCAGGCTGACTAAGATTATATGTAATTTAGAAGTACAAAAACACCCAGGCTGTCATTCTAACACTTTGGTCTTATTAACACTTTGTCTGGTCATATTAATATGTATGATAATTTTTCATGAAGTATAACCCTATTTTTAAAAATTACTAAGATTTGAGACTTAACCATGAAAAAAAAAAAATCTCTTGAAAGGGAATACTCCCAAAATTCTACTTTTTTATCTAACAAAAATTAAACATTACTGAGGATGGCATGACAGTGGACAGGACTCAGCAGTAAAGAAGAAAGAGCCCTCAATTCTGTACTGTCTCCTTCACTAACCCTCTGTGACCTTCTGTGTGTTATTTGCTGTCCCTGACCTCAGGAAGGGGTTGGTTTAGAGAGTAGAACATGGTGTTTGAAACATCTCCTTACGTGAAACTTGTATAAGTATGACATTCTCCTTGCAGCTGCCCAGTGCCCTTGCACTGTGCTCAGCTGGGCACAGTGGCTCATGCCTATAATCCTAGCACTTTGGGAGGCTGAGGCAGATGAATCACCTTAGGTCAGGAGTTCAAGACCAGCCTGGCCAACATGGTGAAAACCCGTCTCTACTGAAAATACAAACAATTAGTCAGGCATGGTGGCAGGTGCCTGTAATCCCAGCTACTCAGGAGGCTGAGTCAGGAGAATCATTTGAACCCGGGAGACAGAGGTTGTAGTGAGCCAAGACTATGCCATTGCACTCCAGCCGGGCAACAAGAGCAAAACAATATC